CTAGCGGGTTTTGTTCTCTATCTAAACCTGACCGGTGCTGACCCAGGACTGTTGACGGGCTATTAATCGCCCCCCCCCCCCTCCACAGTGCCTCAGATCTGCACTGCGTCTTGGCAGCGCGAATGCGTGACCTCGCAACTGTGGAACGAGGATCTCGGTGATGTTCTCCAGAAGGCTCCTGGGTGAATGGACATCTGCTGTGGTCTCTGTCCTCACAGGGTGCGTTTCCCTCACTGTGTGTTTGGTCCTGACAGTAAGCCTCATCAGGAAGAGCCCCGTTTGCGCTCTGCAAGTCGTGACGCACTGGCTTCTGGATGGCATTAGCGGCTAACGCTATGGGCCTCGCTAATTAACACTTGCCAATTAAGTGCCTCTCCTTGGGGATCGATCTGTTGGAAGCACAAAGCAGATTAAGGAAGGGGGGTGTAGACTGGAATATTCCAGTACTCTCCTGCCCCCGCCCCAGATCCCCAAGAAAACAGAATGAGATATTTCTCTAACGTTACCAGGAAACGACGCATTAACTGAAGATGACCTTTATTTATCTGATGCTTTTATCGAAAGTGGCATAGAGCTGTGGAGATGGAAGCCCCTGGAACAACTGGGGGTTAAAGGTCCTGCTCAGGGGTCCAACAGCGAAATCATTCTGCCTATCCTGGGATTTAAACTGGTGACCTTCTGGTCACAGGAACAGCCTCCGAACCTGCTGAGCCACACTGCTCCGGAACTGCCGCAGCCTGACCATAGTAGTGGGTCAGCATCACCGGAATCCCACCCGCGGTGCGGTTCGAAGCTTCGTCTCTCCCACCTCCACCTAGGGAACGTATGAGTTATGAGCTGTATTCGGTTATCCAGGTGACAGCCATCTTTGAGTAAAAGGTGCCTGGTTAAGGAGGGAGCAGTGGGTTTGAGTGCAGCGGGTTCGGGTGCAGCGCGCCGTTTGAACGCCGGGTCTCGTCCCGTGGGATGCAGCGGCACGTCATAAGGGGTGATTTATGACCCCCCCCCCCGCAGGATGCCCCCTCTGCCTGGGAGCAGAGGAACAGATGGCGAGGCGGGGAGCGGAGCGGTGCGGCGCTCCCAGCAGGCGGAGTCGTGCTATTGTGCTTACGCAGGTAAGCCGTTATTAAAATGGAGCTTAAGGTACTCGCTCAGTGAACCGGCACCCCCCCCTCGCAAAGTGACTCATGGCTGGATTGCGGAGGCGCAGGGGGAGCAGGAAGGACATTAGCGTATGGCTACGGGAGCCTTGCGGGGGGCGGGGGCATCAAGTGCTGCCCCCTAGAGGAGCGTGGCTAAAAGAGCACCTGTCCCTTTAAGCGTTAAACTCTCTGCGGACACGCAGAACCTCCTCGCTCCAGTACCTGTAACACCCCCCTTGAGCAACGAGTCCAGTTGGGCTTCCACGACGTCATACGGCGGCACGATCCTGGGCCCTGTCAGGTCCGGCACGCCACAGAGGTGACCTGAAAAGGCACTTCAGTTTGCTAGATCGTGTCGATCTGAGGTTTTATTTTGAAATCGATTTCTTGATTTACTTGTAAGCTCAATTCTCCTTGCGCTATCCTGGGGGATTAATATGTTAATTTATTTGATGCTGTTTTTGAAGCTCCTTGTTTTGCTTTGCCGTTTTTGCTGCGTTCTGTGCATGTAGACTTTTCGCTTTATGCCTCCTGTTTACCAACTTATTTATTCAAAGATGGGGCAGGAAACAGTGCCCCGCCAGGTAATTTGTAAAGATTGTTGTTGTGTGTCGCAAATCATTCTGCAGCAGACAGTGTGCCCTTGGGCTCCTTTCCGTCCAACCCTTTGTATGTGTGTGTGTGTGTTTGTGTGTGTGTGTGTGTGTGTGTGTGTGTGTGTGCGTGTGCATGCATGTGTACAGTGTAGCAGCCTGAACTCCTGCACTGATGACTTGATGACTTGTCGAAGGTTGAGTGGCAGAACTAGGGCCCATTCAGAAGAGGGGGAGGAGCTGGAAGGGGGTGTGGTTTAATGCTGGGGGTGTTACTGCTATACTGCATTGCTGCAGCATCTTTAAAAAAAAAAATTAAAGAGAACAAAACAGAGATTTAAACAATGGCTGGGCCAGATACAGATAGCTGAGAAGAGCTTTGCTGGGAGACACAGCGAGAATGTGCATTAGAGAATAGCATGGCCAGGTACAGATGAATACAAGAATGGAGATAAAGATAAAAGAGAGAATTGTCTCTGATAGAGAAGATGGGCATAATTGCATCTCCCCTTTTTCTTTCCTCATCTCCTACACCCGCATTTGTATAAAAGAGCAATAGATGACAAACGTTAAGTGATCCTCCTGCACTAGATGAGGCCTGTGATTTGGAAAGTTGTTTATTTTTGTCAGGCAGGTTTTCGGACAACCGTTGAGGGGGTCCATCCATCAGGCCAAGCCAGCAGGCAGCCGGTGAACTCCTAATTCCACGGGTGTTTTCTCCTTGAAGGCATCTGCGTGACTCACGACCGCTGGGTGGAAATCAGGCCCCCTTCTCGTGTGTGTGTGTGTGTGTGTGTGTGTGTGTATGTTGTGTGCAGAGCGCTGTACCCCCCCCCGGGAACACAGGACCGGCTGTAACCATAGGCGCTTTGCAGGTGATAAATGTAAAGTCTGTGATGTCTAAATAGGTTCCTCGAGGATCCAGCAACTGCACGATGCTCTTTAGGAGGAAGGTTCCCTCTACGTTGCCGCTCGTAACATCAAAGACTTCCGGAAGCTTCGCGCCCCGCATGCTAATGAGCTGCAGCCACTCAGACACTAAAGGGTGATTATTTATTTTCTCAGGGTCACAGTGGGGTAAAATATTCGTCCCGCGGTGAACCGCATGTCACAGCGTGGCACTGGGAGACGGCCACCCCCCCCGCAGTGCTGCCCCCCCTCCCTCGCTGCGGTCAGACACAGCCTTTCTGACAGCGGTGTCAGCGTAGCGCTAATCAGGGAAGCCCCCATGGACTCTAAATCTAAATCTTCGTCAAATTCTGATTATTAAACTGCTCTGTTTCTCTCTCTCTCTCTCTCTCTCTCTCTCTCTCTCTTCTTTTCCACTCGTCCAACTCCCAGCAAGACCAACCTGTGACTAGATCTCTGATCTTCCTGGTTGCTGTGCTCTATGTGCCTACACACCAGGCCAGACTTATGCACAGGCTAACCAGGGCTGCAGCATGGGGCTTCATGTTGTTGGGGGGGGGGGCCCTTATTTTTTCTGGTTGTTACACCAGCATTTTATGCTGTATGTAGGGCCCCAACAATTTAAACTATAGCCCAGGGGCCCCCATCCCCCTAAATTCAGCCCGGCCCACATATCTGAAAGGGTGTGCACTCGGAGACGGGTCTGGGTATCTTCTGGAGATCAGCAAAAGACAAATATTTCGATAAAATTACCCACGTGCCATAAAAAATCTGAAAATCTGAATTTTGATAATTTAGGCTTAGGGATTCATGGTGGCATTAACTGCTGTGTATTCAGAGTCAAAGGGACTTTCCCATGAATGGAGCTGTAAATAATATATGTGCGTGTTTGTGTGTGTTTGCATATGTACATGTTTGCGTGTGTGTGTGCTTGCGTGTGTATGTTTTCATATGTGTGTGTTTGCATATGCGTGTGTTTGCATGTACAGTATGTGTGTTTGTGAGTGTGTGTGTTTGCGTGTATGTGTGTGTTTGCGTGTGTGTGTGTGTTTGCATATGTGTGTGTGTGTTTGTGTCTGTACATCTTGAGTGTGTTTCTAACTTTCTGCAAGCCGTTTTTATTCAACCAGTCCCCATAAAGTTAGATAATTTTGCTGTATAGGGACCAACAAAGAGGACACACTGTTGTTTTTACTTTTTTATTGAAATCAATTTTCCTCTTTTTCTTGTTTTTGCGGTTCGATTACAAATTAATTTAAATGAGAGTCAAAAAAATGAGAGTCACTGGGAGGTCCCTTCTGAGATACACACTTTCTACTGCTTGTCGTGTACAATGTATTGTGAGTGTGTGTGTGGTTTTAAGTGTATGTGTGTAAATATGTGTCTTCTTGTATTTTGTTTTGGTTGGTGTTTGTCAGGGTCTCCCTGTGTGTGCTTGGTTGTTTGTGTGTCTATGCGTGCGTGTGTATGCATGTATGCGTGCGTGTGTGTGTATGCATGCGTGTGTGTGCGTGTATGCATGCGTATGTGTGTGTATGCGTGCATGTGTGTGTGTATGCGTGCATGTGTGTGTGTGTATGCGTGCATGTGTGTGTGTGTGTGTATGCGTGTGTGTATGTATGCGTGCATGTGTGTATGTGTATGCGTGCATGTGTGTGTGTGTATGTATGCGTGTGTATGTGTGCGTGTGTCTGTGTGTGTGTGTGTGTGTGTGTACACACATGGGTGCCTCTTACACCACTACAGCAGTCTCCCTACTTGCCCCCATGCTGTGCTTCTTCAGCTGCTCTCCATTTCTCCCTCTCTCCATCTCTCCCTCACTCCCTCCCTCCCTCCCTCCCGTGATGCCCATCGCGGTCGCTGGGAGATCTGCCGGTGTCCCTGGCTAATGAGTCCCAGTGTGCTGTGACAGGTGACAGCGCGAGGTTCCCGTGCCGACGCATGCCATCGCCTGAATCGAGTGGCTGCTTCCCATGGCAACTCCACCGCCCCCCCCCCCACCCCACCCCACCCCAAAGTTTCTTTGCATCCTGGGAATAAAGAATGTATCCACTCGACACGGCGGTTTGCACTGTAGCGAGATGCAGAGATTAATGCTTTCCGGAGTTTCTTCCTGTCACACTTTGACGCTCTTTGTTCCGCGTTGCTGGGTGCGCAGCGTACAGGTGAGAACACTCCGCAGACTCTGCATGGTATCGGCGCCCCAGGAATGAAAGTGTTCTGTGACGGGGGGGAGACGTGTTTGTATTTTGTGTTCAGCGGGAGCTGCTGTGTTTGTGAATCTGTTGGGCCGTCAGCCGCGGGTGTCGGGGCCCCGTCAGTGATCACGGGGCCCCCTTGTGGCTTCTCTCTGCAGTACAAGCAGGTGGAGCAGTACATGTCCTTCCACAAGCTTCCAGCTGACATGAGGCAGAGGATCCATGACTACTACGAGCACCGCTACCAAGGCAAGATGTTCGACGAGGAGAGTATCCTAGGGGAGCTCAACGAGCCACTTAGGGAGGTGGGTGGATCCCTTTCAGTGTGACCAATAGGATCATTGCTCCCTCTATGGTCACTCTTGCCATGACATTATGAATCTTCTCCCTGTACGTTCATTCTCATTGAGTCCCTCTCATCATCTCACAATCACAGCAGTGGTTCCTCTGAAAAAGTACCAGTAATTTCTGAAATTTGCTCGAACAACTAATTTACAATTATTTACAATTAATAACACCTAGACCAGTTTTGTGGCATGGCTGGGGCCCCATGACCAGCTTTGTGTTGGACCTAGAATCTTAGAAAGTTGACATGAACATGCATTTGGGCTTTCAAAGGGTAAATGTACACCGCACAGTGGAGAGCGATCAAGCCTCGATGCCTTTCTCGTCAAACAGGAGATCATCAATTTCAACTGCCGCAAGCTGGTGGCCTCCATGCCACTGTTCGCCAACGCGGACCCCAACTTCGTGACCTCCATGCTGACCAAGCTGCGCTTCGAGGTCTTCCAGCCCGGCGACTACATCATCCGCGAGGGCACCATCGGCAAGAAGATGTACTTCATCCAGCACGGGGTGGTGAGCGTGCTCACCAAGGGCAACAAGGAGACCAAACTCTCCGATGGATCCTACTTCGGGGGTAAAGGAGGGGGCCATTTGGCGGGAAGGGGAGGGGGACTCAGGCAAGAGGTCATGTGTCCAGGGAGATAGAACCCACTTCAGCTTTAGTATTCATAATACCGCTGCACGGAATACGAGGAACGCGCCAAAGCAGAACGTTCCTCTCTGAGGTCAGCTTCGGTGGCTTCTCATGAACAGCACCGGCAGCAGCCAGGTAAAAGCCAGTTTTCTACACAAGCGGGTGAATTATGGTCATTTTCTGGGATTCCCAGGGGACCTGAAGATAGAAAGGCGACATAAGTGGCTGTTCTGCGTGTTTTCAGAATTGGTCAGAAAACAAAAGAAAATGAACTTGCCTTTGCATGATTTTCGCTCTTCAGATGGTTATCAGGTTTCAGTGCTGGTGCCAATCAATCAATAAATCACTTTATATATACAGTATATATAAAGCACATTTAAAGACCCCACGTTTCAACTGAAGTGCTGTACAAAATACCAGTAAACACAATGAACCAGAAGAACAAAATACATAAATAAATCAAATGAATAGAACAATCGCAGTTTAACCATCGGGTATTTCAAATGCTAATGAGTTAAAATTATATCTTTAATCTTGTTTCAAAAATAGCGAGTGATGGTGCAGATGTAATTCAGTGTCACACAGATGGTTTTGTACACTTGATGTATGTAGGTTTTTTTTTATAAAGAATTCTTATGAGATTTACGTGATTTCACACACCTCCCCAAAGGTCGATAAATTACACCCAACTCCAGTGCGATTTGGGGCTGCCTGTTTAAATAACCGTGCATGAAGAAAGTGAACGAGCTTGGGCAGTTTGAATGGCACGTTCTGCAATGATCTTGGGGCAGCAGTGGGGATGTTTTTGCTCTCATTACCCAGAAGATATTCCTGACTTGCCAGGGAAGCTACACCTGGAAACATCCCCCTGCAGGCCGTTTCCTGGAACTTGGTCTGTCCGACTTTCAGACTTTTCTTGGTGTATCGGGAGACTAAACATGCTGGCAGCAGTCCCTGGCCTGACTTGGGCTCCCCAGTAAATGTGCCGGAACATTCCAGAATCCACTATTATTTTCTTAGAGGGACAGCAGGTAGCTGTGAGGGTTTCAGCGACATTGCCTGTACGGTAGGTCTTTTGTCTGAAAATTTCCTGCCTTGTCCTTGGGATTTGTGTTTCTGGATGATTCAGTTTGAGGACACTAAACAGTGTTGATTTTTTCATTATCACTAAAAGTTGTTCATCTTCAAATATGCATGATTTTTTATTATGGAGAGAGATTTATGTCAAAAATAATCATACGAAAAAATTAAATTGCAAATCTCAAAAATCGTATTTGTATATCTGTAACTTGCAAAGATTATGCAAGTACACTTCTATTATGACCTTTACGGTAACAGTCACACATTCAGTTCACGCTGCACGTGTCGAACTCTAGGTTTACAGATTTTCATTTTACGAAAGTAGTTTAGGCAGTTTGTGGCTGCTAATGTGCAATAGATTCGTATAGGTGTTGATAGATTAATTTACATCTAAAGTAATTGTACTTAAATGTCATGACAGGGTTACAAATATGTTTCTTTGCGTGTCACGTAAGTTGCATGAGTACAATCCTCATTTTACAATTGCGAATCGCAATTTATGAGTTTACGATGTTCACAGTTTATCACAGTTTATGTATTTGCAACTTCAGAACTATGTTGATGAAACATTAGTTACTACTAATCACTAGTTCAGTGGGGAACGTTATGTTGCCAGTGGCCAGTGAGGTAGAGGTTAGGAGTGCGCACTGGTGCAGTGCGTTGCTGCACCCTCCACATGACAAACCACCTCAGGGATGAGAACCCGAGAGCAGCCGTGCGGCAGGTGATACCTCAGCACCACACTAGTTCAAATGCAATGGAACACTGTGAGGTTTTGTTTTGCTGGTGGCTGGAGTGCCAATCCTGCCACCAACCCCCATATTTTCCCTGTAGGTTGTAGGACCTGCTTGCAGGGCTGGATGTAGATTAACGTCATACCCAGGATGAAGCAGCTGCAGGTTAAGGGCCTCGCTCAAGGGCCCAACGGAGAAGTACACCTGGAATTCACGGGATTTAAACCTGCAATTTTCGGCCACTGGCAACGTAACTTTCCACACTTAACCAGTAATTTATAAATGTAAGGCTGAATTTGTAAATGCTAAATTGAAATTCGTAATCACAACCTGAAACTCATACACACACATTTGCAACTCTGAACATGGATTTGTGTTTCATAAAATTACGATATCGTCGTGACATTTAAGTATGATTTCTTTAGACATAAATCTTTCTCCATAGTTTATTTTACAGAAAAATGTTGGCCCTTCTATTCAGTAAAACAAGATTAATATCCTGTGGGGAGGGAATTGGGAAATTCAGAATTGTTGAAAGCTAAGGAAATACTTGTGTTTTTTGTAGATTTTTCTTTTCATATTGTAACAAAGGGTTTATGTTGGTGGTTTGTCAGAAGACTAGAGCCATTGATTTATATTTTCTAGTCCATCCATGTCTTTCCACTTAGATGGTGCGATTTATCTCTCAGCAGCAGAGGGGAGAAATGGAGTAACCAGCGTCTGGGAGGAGGATTTAGAGTTGACAGGGGGATGGAGGCTGGAAGCTGTATTATTGCTGAGGGTAATGTGAACGGGTTGACAGGAAACTGGAGTAACCTTCTGGGACGCTGCTATTATCGCTTACCTGTATGGTACATTATTTCATAGCCCATTGTAATTTTTCAGTGTTGACTCAAAAGAATAAGTTATACAGTAAGAGGATGGATGATGAGTTACTTTCCTCATTTCCTAACTTAGTGTTTCCCAATCCGCTCCTCAGGGACTCGCTGATGGTCCACATTTTTGCTCCCTCCCAGACATTCCACATCCCTAACCCTGCCAGACAGTCCACATCCCTAGCCCTGCCAGACATTCCACATCCCTAACCCTGCCAGACAGTCCACATTCCTAACCCTGCCAGACATTCCACATCCCTAGCCCTGCCAGACATTCCACATCCCTAACCCTGCCAGACAGTCCACATCCCTAACCCTGCCAGACAGTCCACATCCCTAACCCAGCCAGACAGTCCACATCCCTAACCCTGCCAGACAGTCCACATCCCTAACCCTACTGGAAGTTGGGAGGCAGCAAAAATGTGGTCCATCTGGGGGCCCCTTTTCTACTTGATTTTCAGAGACGTAATGCATAGAGTTCGAAGGCCCCAGTTTTCTAAATTTGTCCTTAGAGGTTATTTTTTGGTTCCAGGGTGGTGGTGGCCCAGGGGTGGATTAACTTCTCTGGGGGCCCCAGGCTGACGTGGATTCATCTGTTTTTTGGAGTTGAAAGAGAAACATGAGTTTTGCTGATGAAAATGATGCAATGTCAATGTGCTAATCAGTGTGCTGGTCAATAGCCCTGATTTAATAAGCCATTAACGCTTCCTTTGTTTTCTGAGGTGGGGCCCCTGACAGCCTTAGGCTGTAGCCCTTGTTTGTGGCCATCATACCTCTGCCCCCCCCCCCCCCCCGAGCCCTGCGGCCAGTCAGGGGCATCACACATCAGCATGTTGCTAATCTGCAGGCAGATCCAGGGGCTTTGCACACCAGCCCCGCATCCCATGCGTTACTGTGGAGTGAAGGGGGGCCCAGATGACCTCCCCCATCCCACCCATCTCTTGTTTGATCAAAGCAGCGGGGGGATCTGAGGGGGTCATTCGAGGGATGGGCCCCCTAGGGGTGGCATTCAAGTGATGTGTGTTCCTCAGAATTGTGTGACATTTGACTCACAGAAAAAACACGGTATAAACACAGTAAAAAATAAATAAAAAAAACAGAAATAAGAAAATAAGATGAGGCACAGAGAGACCCATACGCCCCCCCCCCCCCCCTGCACCACCCGGTTCGACGCAGCTCATATTTACCAGCCTTAATAACCACAGGGACCCCCGCAGGCGGTGTGTTAGGGGAATCTGGCCAGCCTGCGCGGGGCTTGGAAAGGTCATGGCTCCCCCCCCCGCCCCTGGGGAGTGCCCGCTGTAATGGGCACGGGAGCCTGACAGCGACGGTGGGTTGAGGGAGGGGTCATACATGGCCAGCTGTGGCAGGGTGCTGGGGTACAGTAGGACCACCGGCCTGTAACCAGGAGCATCAAACTGCCAAACCAGAGCCTTCAGGACTAACTCGCTTTGGCCAGAGGTCATTTTAATTGATTCCAGACGACCGTTAATATAATCACGCTTGGTCCTGGCACTGTGTACTGTGTGCTGCTCGCCTTACACCACCCCCACCCCCCCATGCGAGCTGTGTCTCCTATAATCTGACAAGACGGAAACAGGACGGGGGCTGCATAGCATTTAGCGGAGGGCCAGACAAGAGAACAGAGAAAAGGCCGCGCCTGGGTGCCTGACGCAGCACAGTCATGGCAGACTGAATGTACGGTGCCATTTCAGCACTCTGAGAGAGTCCTGGAGAATCAGGAGTCAGGGAGATGGAGGGGGATCCGGAGTCAGGGAGATGGAGGGAGAATCAGGAGTCAGGGAGATGGAGGGAGAATTCCTCTCCTCCATTGTCTTTCAGCATTCTTTCTTTCTTTCCCTCTTCCCTGTTGACTTTCTTATGCACCATTTTGTATAAATTATGCAATAATGGATTGCCACATGCTCTAGTCATGCACCTTGGGATGACTCTTATGAAAGGCGCTATATAAAAAGAAATTGAGCTGAATTAAAATGTATTGCCTTTTGAAATCGAACACAAAAAGCAGTTCGGTTCTCAGGCTTCAGAATTTGTCATGATGCCACGATGAGGAAGACTAGGGGACAGGCCGAGCCTGTGCTCCACAGTGTCACGGGTTGCCAGGTGTGGGCTTCCGGCAGCAGGGGGCCCCCTAAACGAGGCCCAGGCCCTGGGATCCGGCAGGGCAAGGGAAGTCCTCCAGGTTCCCAGAGCCGCTTTAAAGCGTGGCAATGCCGGATTATGCTCCATTTACATAATGCGGCGAAGGAAAGCAAGCACTCTTGGAAGTTCACTTCTCTGTTTGCTGTCTTCTTCTCCTCTACGCCTCCATGAGATGTTCACAGATGACGGTTTGATTGGTATCTTACGGTTAACCGTATCCACCGCGGAAAGGAAGACGACCAATGGGGTTTTAATTGAATTCACAGCTGAAGGAGACATGGTGCATTATTTCATTACACGTGTGCTGCTCTCTGCTTTCCATGGGCAATTAGATGCCATGTGGCACCAACATTAGGCCTGGTTTTTATGTTGACATAACCGCTGTAATGTCTCCCACCTGACTCTTGGCTAAAACAGGGTGCTGTGGAGGTACATGTGTCAAAAAGGATGATTAATCATCCCCGTGAAACACACAGACAGGTGAGAGTAACCTTGAAGGTGCAGGGTCAGGCTGGGGGAGGGGGGGGTTAGGGGCCTTGCCCTGGGGCCTGATGATGACATTCATGTGACAGTCCTGGGATTGGAACTGCCAACCTTCTGGTGACAGACACAGAGCCCTGACCTGCTGAGCTTCACACTCCCTCCCCATCGCAGCTAAATAGCAGCATCATAGTAAGACATAAGTAATTCAATAATAACAATGAGAGCAGTATCAATAATAGCTTTGGTCTGTTTCCCATGCAGAGATCTGCCTTCTCACCCGGGGCAGGAGGACAGCCAGCGTGCGGGCGGACACCTACTGCCGGCTCTACTCGCTCTCCGTGGACAACTTTAACGAGGTGCTGGAGGAGTACCCCATGATGCGGCGGGCCTTCGAGACCGTGGCGCTGGACCGGCTGGACCGCATAGGTGAGAGCATGGTGTGCCGAATAAGGTCTGGGGCGCTGTCGTCGTTACCGGTGCCCACCGTGGATGGGGTACCCGGCTGTGTAAGCGGTGGACGTGTCCTAGAGGCTGGCGTGCCAGTCGCTGTGTCCGTGCCTTCCGAGTCCCGTCCTCCCCAGCCCCCAAACGGCGCGCCCCGCACTGCCCGGGCAACATCTGGCTGTGGAACGGCTGCCAAGGGATTGACATTTCGGGCTTTTGCTGGGAGCCATTTTGAGTCAAAGTCTCCTGAAAACGAGGTTATTATTCCTGGTGCAGAGCAGCAGATCTCTCCACGGCGGATGGACCAAAAATGGGTCTGTCACCAAAACTGTTAACTCTCCTGACCTTCTGTAGTGGAAAAGAATTTTTTTTTAATTAATAATTAAAAAGAGTGGGACTGTTCTATTTCTGTGGTTTTAGTCCCCCCTCCCCCCGCAGATGAATCCACGTTACCGAGGGTGATGTCATCAGCTGCTGATTTTGTACCCTTTGACCTCTCGGATTTGAGCTGTTTGAGCCCCATAAATAAATTGCGTTTGCCTTTCTGAACTCTTCTGTATGATGAACTCGTTTAAACAACGACTGCTCCTATAGTTAATCCGAACCTTAATAGGCTGAGGCAATCCGATGACCACTCACCAGATGAACCAGGGGTCCACAGAGGTCAGAGGTCAATTACTAGCCTGCGGAGATGATCTGTCTGTAATCTGTCAGTAAATCGATAATTCAGTTCTATCTGTTATTATGTAACTTTAATTCTTTAATTCAGACCAAGTTGTACTTATATTTACAAAATGTGGCAAGGCAGCAATATTTGCTGTTAATTTTTATGAATTCAAGTGACAGAGGAAGTGCAGTTTTGTGTCTGTGCATCCCTGTGTCTGTGGGCGATTGGTACATTCAGCAGCACCCCTCCCCCACGCTCCTAATGGTTCAGCCCTTGTAACTTATCTGTAGAGTCTCTGCCCGTTATGGATGCCCTCTCTTCGGTGTGCTGCTGGACCTTCTTGTTCTCTGTTTGTTCTGAGGTGAATTCTATCTCCGGCTGAGCAATCAGCCCGTAGTCAAAATGCAGGTGCATCTTTGGTGTCGACCTGCCACCATGTGCGTCACCTCATTCCTCCCCAAACCAAATTAATTTGGGTTATTATCCAACCGATGTTTACAGACAGAGTTGCCTGCCATGCACTTGACAACCCGTCTCTGCCTCTTATTCCATATCCTGTATGGATTATACAATGTTTTTGTCTCTGCAAGTAGACATATTTTACCAGCAATGGCTAAAATCTGACATTTTAGACTTGCTTTTTAAAACAATGAGTTCACAGCGTGGTAATTCAGAGGTGTCCTCCTACACTGTCTGGCGTTTGATCCTCCGTTTTTCATGACTCCTTTGTGCCTTGAAATGATGGATCGTGGTTTAGGTTGTAACATTTCCACTGTATATTTTATGAAGCTGGTAGCTGCAGGTTTCGATAAGCAACCAGAAGGAAAATAAAACTGCGATTTATGTAGTAATAATTAAATGCAGTATCTGTTGTGGACTCTTAAGGCACCATACAGAATTGCTGGAATGAGCTGCTCTTCCCCTTTAGCAAATCAGCTCGTTGACACCCGTGAGCTTGGCTTGGTTTGCTGTTTGCGTGACGCTTTATTCAGGAGCGCCAGTGAAACCAAACGGCCCCTTTCAGAATGACTCCGGGCTCCATTGACACCCTGCGCTTCCTGTTCCCTGAAACAGTCTGTGAAACACAGTCAAACAGTCCTTAAACGACTGATCTTCTGGCCATGAGTTTGCCAGTTTGACTTTCAGCTGGGCTTCTGCTGTTGTACCTTTAAGAGGTGTGTTGGACCTAAAAGGTTCTGTGAAACCACCACGGTTGTCCAGATTTTGTACTTTTACATCTCATTATTTATGTACAATTTAAATCAAAATAAAACGAGTAACACTTAAGGCCATGTTTTTCGTAATTTACTAACACATTCGTATCAAATAATGCATTCATAAAGCGTTATAAATGGTGACCTTCTCATTCTCCACGGCCTTCCAGGGAAGAAGAACTCCATCCTGCAGCACAAAGTGCAGCACGACCTCAGCTCAGGCATGTTGAACTACCAGGAGAACGAGATCATCCAGCAGATAGTGCAGCATGACCGGGAGATGGCGCACTGTGCCCACCTGCTGCAGTCGGGCCCGCCCCCGGCCCCGCCCCCGGCCACGCCCCCCGCCACGCCCGTCATATGGGCCCCGCTCATCCAGGCTCCCCTCCAGGCGGCAGCCGCCACCACCTCGGTCGCCATCGCGCTGACTCACCACCCTCACCTGCCTACCTCCATCTTCCGTCCTCCCGCCTCCGTTTTGGCCTCCATGAAGGACCCGTCCAGCCGCCCCAAGAGGTTCGGCCCGTCGGTGGCCCGCTCCTCTGGCTCCCCCAGCTCAGCCATCGACTCACAGCCTGGCACACCCCCTCCCTGGTCACGGACGGGCACGGACGTCCCCCTGTTGGCTTCCCTTCGGGCCCAGCATCCAGTGTCAGGCCCCGGGTCCCAAACAAGGTCCCACAGGTCTGGCTCCATCTCCCTGGGACGCTTCTCTGTGTCCAGCTCTCCATCTTCCAGCACGGCACAGCTGCATCACCCCCCCGCCCAGCAGCAGGCCGCTCGGGGGAGCCAGCATTCACTAACAGGCCTCTTCCAGCAGGGGGCGCTGGGGGAAGCTATGGGTGGGGCTGTAGGGGGCACTACAGGGGGATCTGCAAAAGGGCTTACTGTGGAAGTTACTGGGGGTGCCTCAGGGGGATTTATAGGGGCAGATATCGGGGGGGTCTCAGGAAGAGTTACAGGTGGGGTAATAGGGGCAGATATTGGGGGGGCCTTGGGAAGAATTACAGGTGGTGTAACAGGGGTAGACACCGGGGGGGCCTCAGGTAGATTTACTGGTGGGGTATTAGGGGCAGATACTGGAGGAGGTACTGGGGTTGGCATTAGGGGGGCAACAGGAGGACTTAGCAGCTCGTCGGCCCCCCACACAAGCCCCCTGAGCTCCAGCTCGGCCAGCCTCCTCCAGGCCCAGCTCCAGCCCCCGCCCCGCCGGCCCTCCCAGGCAGGCTCCCTCAAGCAGTGTATGATCGGGGGCAGGACCTCTGGAAGCGGTGGGCTCTTCCCAGAGCCCTCATCGGGCTCAGCGTCACCCAGCAGGACCTTTACGGGGTCACCCGCCGAATCGCCGTCTGCCGTGCTGCAGCGCAGTCTGGCCGCGCGGCCCACAAGCTCGCCGCCGCCGCCCCCGGAACGCTCTCCCCTCGCCTCTCTAATCCAGTATGGCTCCCCCTGCTGCACACCCTTGGTGCCCAGCCCTGCCTCCCAGAGCCCTGTCTCCGGCCGGACTTTCCCTTTCCTCGAGCCTTCCAGCACTTTCAGCTCTCGCAGCTCTCTGCCCCAGCCGCTGACGCCCACCTGCGGGGCCCCGCCCTCAGCCTTTGATTCGCCCCAGGGCCGCTTCTCCCAGGACCTGAGACTCATCTCCACCTCGCACCCCAGCCTGTCCCAGGGCGCGGCCTGGGCCGTCAGCGCCTCGCCGCCGCACCCGCCGCCTTTCCGGGACCTGGGGCCGTGCTTCTCGCCGTTCTCCTCGCCCACACTGGCGAGCAGGCCCTGCAGTGCCCTCCCCAGTCACATGACTCTCTCCAGGCAGCCCTCCCCAACGGGCTCGCCTCAGACTCCATCTGCAGGGTCGTCACCCACGCTGCTGCCTCATAAAGGCCTCGCCTCTGACCTGGAACCAGTTCGCTCCAAACTCCCGTCCAACTTGTGAAATAGAGTCACGCCCTTCCACACCCCCTCTGGACTGAGAGAAACTATTTTGTCCTGTGATATTTTTCTTTTTTTTTTTCTTTAATCCCCAGGATTCACTGTGTTTCAAGCGTCATTATTTCCCTCCTCATAATATAACTGTTTTAAAAGACAGGTTGACAGGGGTGAATTAGAGTTCTAGATCAAAATGTAGTTTAGCCTTTGTGTCCTTTGCTTCTTAAGCAGAGGATTAAGGAAACTTTGTGCCCAGTGGGTGTGAGGATCATGTGGAACAGGGTATATATTTTCTGAACTATGCCAAGTGATCATCTCCTCCTCTTTTGGTCATATGGAGAAGAGGTCATGGTAATTCTCCATGCGGGTCCGGCTCTGCAGGTGCTTTCTGCTCTGACCCCCGCATGCATAAGAGGCCCCTATAAAAATGAGTTTTTATAGACCTGAGACATGTTTCTGGGATGCAAACATATCTCCTGTAGCATCGCATGCGGGTTCAGGTAGAGCCAAACCTGCTCTTAATCTGATTTTGTTTTACCAAAATGCTTTACCCACGCTGTCCAAGGTGGAGCAAGCGGCTCCACATTTAAAGAAAACCAAAATAATTCCTTTAGCAATCATTCCAGATGTTTTCTTATTTTCAGCATTTTTTTTTTTTGCTTATGAGAAGAGTTATATGAATACTACTGCGGAGAGTCACAGATCTGTGAGTACAGAATATGCTAAAAACGTCGCGATTTTTTGTGACAGGCTGACTGTGCTGCTCTCAGCAGTGTCCTAACGAATCACTGAACTTTCAAAGTCTTCCGAGTACAGGTAGCAGGGAAAGTGGCGGGGCTTTGTGTTTGCCTTTGTGTGTGTGTTTGTGTGTGTGGGGTGAGTGGGCACATAGCTGTGGGGGGGCTAACCTTGGGTTTGTTTTCCACTAGAGGCAGCGTTTCACCAGATTTTCTCTCCTACTGTACTGTATGTGTCTCTCTCCCCTGTCTTCTCAGAAAGGTTTATAGATTCCAACCCAAATCCAGTCAGGGATTGCAAAGGAAATTATACCTTACAGGCAATAAGGAGTTAAATTAAAGACGAGCCGGATGTTTAGTGTACAGCCATGTGCTTTGCATGGCTAAATGACTGCTGAGTTAATGCATTCATTCATATTCATATTATTGATGTCCTTTACCATAAAGTTCAGTGTTCCTCTGCTTAGAAGCTGCTGATTTAAAAATGAGTGTTCTGCTGGGTCCAGAGATTGTGGTTACAGGGTAGCATGCCTAACTAACCATGGAAATAAACAGCCAATGGAATGTGTTACCGTATGCTATTTATTGGTAACTATAGCTGTCAGTCATTAATATGACAAAGGAAGTCCCGGTCAAGCTGCCCCCCTCTTCCTGTCTGTCAGCTACAGGAGCTCTCACTGCGTTGGATTCTCAGCTGGCAACTCAATCTCCCAGACTTAATTGGAGCAGACAGGCGCTCACCTTGCCTGCACACTTTGCCCCTTTTGGGCCTGCACTGGCTTGTTGACAGCGTTCGGTCGCCGTGTAACAAGCAGACTCGACAGCCTCCGACACAATCATCCCGTCACTGCTGCTTCCTGCACGGCCCCTGCTATATCTTTCAGGCGCTTTTTTCAAGACCCCTTCGGTTTGCTTTTGGCAGAATCTTCCAGCAGGTTCTGTCCCCACCACCACCAGGCAAAATAAGTGGTTTTGATCTCCCAGACAGATACACACCCCACCGGTCCCTGAGATCCCATCAAACAGGATGTTGCTAATACTGAAACTCGGTGGTCAGCTGGGGAAGAGGCAGACTGGACGGTGTCCCCAGATGTTCCTTTATATACAGGATTGACGGCAACAGCTGGATTTAGGGAAACGTACAGCATCTCAAAGCCATCTCTGTTATGACAGACAGCTGCATCCATTGCACCCGGGCTGGTGCGTGTCCAGGAAGCCTAATGCATGAGGTGTCGCCCATAGCGATTGTGACAGTAACGGTTCAGACTGGGCCGCCACTGAACGATACAGACACCCGTGACGGTATTCTGGATATTGTCGCCTGTCGCCATTTTAAGAAAAGAAATCCTATTTTCTCCTGAAACAAATCCTGTTTTCTCTGACCCATATTTGGCCAAAGGTAACCAGTAGATTTTTTTTTCCCTGCTTATATTTCCTGTTCTGCGGCTTTTTAACAAGTTGTGTTTGATGGCAGTGAGTCGCAGCACAGAATGTTCCATCAGGGTCCAAGTGGCAGCTGACAGCTAAACCGCTGCAGTCTGCAGAGTACAGACCCGCCCTGGAATGGAAAGGGGCCGAGGCAGAGCAGCGTGGTCCAGGCGGCTCCCATCAGCGACTATCAGCAATGTTAGCATTCCATGGGGAAGAAGCTAAAACCGGCGTTTGCCGCTAACAATGCTGGAAGTGAGAGTTGGGTTTAATGTGCTCTGGCTGTCATTACTTGGCTGTGTGCAGCCAGGCGCCAACACTAAGAGTGGGAGGAGCTCAAAGAGATGGTCAGTCAACCTGAGACCCTCCAGAAACCCAGTGTGGGACAGATCATTGGTTTAACCCACTTTCCATCTGTTATGTTACCGGCTCCTGTTGTGGTAAATCACACAGGATTGGGGTGAATCAGACAGATAATCTGCCCCTATCGTGGTTTGGGAAAATTCCCATCTCCCGTCACTGTTTATCAATGGCCACCTATTGGGACTGGAGAAAGGGGAAGATTTTCAGGGGCCCACGCGCTAGGGGGCGCTCATGAGAAAGGTTGCGGTTGGCATGCATGATGGTAACTTTGATTTAGAGAAGGGGGCGGGGGTAATTCAGCAGAATTTTTTTCTGGGGCCTAGCCATGCCTTTGTAGGTTAGGTATCGACTGATAGTGTGGGGTTTATAAGTTTGGTTTGATGAAGGTGGGGTGTATACACTTCAGCATGACCCAAGTCCTGACGCGGGTTTAGAATCAATGTAAACAAGGCCAAGCTTGACAGGGTGAAAAACCAGCACTGGCAGAAATGCATTCCTCATCCAATAAACAACATACAATCCTGAAGTACTTAAACATGCTCAACATAAGGCATTATGTCACAGCTGGGCCCATGAAATGTTCAAATCTTTTTACTAACAAGTTAACTGCCATGTTGACATTTAGAACAGGGAGGTCTATTAAGGATATGGCCTGTAACCGTAAGGATATTAGGTCCGATCCTAGGAAGGGTTCAGCTGCTGCTTAATCTGATTCACTCCAGTATGTATAAATATGCAGCCGCATAGATGGGGGAAAAAAATCTTGCTTCCTTACATAGTGACAGCTAACTAAATCTAGTAATTACATACAGACTGAGGGAACAATGCAATGTTATTAAGAACATCAAAAGGATGTCTGGATTATTATGTGAGTGAGATTTGAAGGGGGGGTGGTCCTTAATTGCTGAAGCCTTTATAGGGCTTAAACAAGATGTGTACTGGTTTGGGGTTCATCATTATGTTGTATTCAGGCAGAGCTCAGTCATACCATGAGGCTTCTCTGTATTTTACATCAATCATTGTCATACGCCAATACTCCTGCCATGTTGAAAAGACCATGGAGATATAAAGGCCTTCTTCTGGAAAGGTCATCACATGCAGTTTATTTTAGCCCGAAACAAAATTATACATGTAAATACTGACCCCAGACGTAAACGGTTCCCGGCAGTGGGGGCGCCCACACTTGCATTCATTGCCTAACTGGTACTTTGCAGATGGGTGGAGCACGGTGTGACGTATCGCGTCAAAGACGATTAATTCTTGTCTCCGTCCAGCGGCCGCAAATGTCATTGCGCTCCGTCTGAGAAATGCGGACAACTGGAATATCTCATATTGAGTCGTGTTTCTGTAGCTGCAACCTCATCCCCCACCCCCCCCCCCCCCCCAACCCATGGACCCACTGCCCTTCCTTACTGGCAGGCGGTGTGAGTCAACCCACTTACTTTCACTAATGTGATTCTGTGAATATGCAGGAAGCCAAACCTTGTGATGGTCTACCTGGACAATTTAGTCTTCCAGCTCCTGCTGTAGTAGCACTGGACATTATTCAGGGATTCTCCGGGCGAACAGGCTTCACTATGGCCTGGCAGCAACAGTAGCATTGTCAGCAGAGATCTCACACCTAAATGTGGATCCCAGACTCATCTCCACCAGATAACCATCTGGCCATCTGCCTGGCTGTCTAATATATCTATCGGTCCCCCCCATACCAAATACCCAACAGCCAGTGGCGTCTAAGACTATGTAGCAGCATCAATGATAAGCCCTTGTAGGATTTTTTTTTCTTGCGCATGTGTGCAGTGAGGGAATAACTCAAACTGTTATTCGAAGGACAGGAAGTCACCGTGTCACTTCCTCTTACTCGGACTGTCAGTGGCAAACAGTTAGCGACAGTCACCACTTCTCGTTTGACAAAGCGGGTCTATGTAAACACAGAGACCACAAAGGCCCTGCACAGACGACGAGGGTCGGGGAGGTCAAGCGAGCTGTGTCCTCCCGAACCTGGGGGTCCCCAGCCTGGGGGGGTCCCCAGCCATTGTTGACACGCCATTCATCAGATCACAGGTACATGGTGTCCACGTCCCCTCGGTGACGAGGGAGCTCTTTGTGAACGGAGATAAGCGGCTCTTCATTGATTGGCATCACTGATGCCCATCAGACTTTCGAAGGCGCTTTGTCACCTGTGACAGGAAGGTCCTGCTTGAAGTGTGTGGTTCTTTTTGAGAAGGTCCTCACTGCAGGGTGTCACTGCTGATAAGACAGCCTGCATCGACACGCACCACCTTCGACAGAAATGTCTCTCCAAGGGAGACCAACTTCTGAAAGTGCCCCCCATCACTCCTCCCACCCCGTGCTTTCCGGAACTTTCCACCCTGGTGTGTTATGACGATGCCATGTTTGCGAAAGCTGGACTCTAATGTTGTTGTTTGTTTGTTTGTTTCTCGGACACTGAAGGTACAGTATACACACCACACACAGATGTTGGGTGTATATGTCAGCCATTAATGGCCATCACTCAAGGTGACGTTTTTTCCTAGGCTTTATTTGATATTTGTTTTTCATGGTTTTATCACTGTTGAAATAGAAAGGAATGATAACTGAAATGTGTACAGTTGTCTTTATCATTGTTACGTTTATGATTATTGTATTTTTTTTAACAATTAGCCTTGAATAATCTATCTTTTAATGAATACTGGAGTGAGACAGAATGTAATGTATCCACTTCATTCTGAAGTTTTATTTAACATTTTATAATCTGAATGGGTGTCCAGAGGCTATTGCAGAGACTTTATTCAGAAGGGAAACAGTATTATTTTTTTGGACACTTCACTTTCAGTTTAATGGGTATATATATATATTTTTGTCTGTGTTAAACAGGAAACTCTGGGAAATAGCAATAAGCGACGTGTGTGTGGGAACCATCGTGGTCCACAAGTATATGGGCCAGAAGTCCATCGGTAAGACGCACCGTGAGCGGATCGAGGTTGGTTGTTGATAAGCACACACACTGGATAATATAACAAGGTATGAAATAAAAACTAAGGAGCATCCGCGGGCTCTGTT